CTCGATACTATAACGCCAGAGTAAAGAAAAGGAACTTCCGCGTCGGCGACTTGGTTCTCCGTAAGGTCATGGTGCCCGAACCCGGCATAGGGAAACTTGGACCAAACTGGGAAGGACCCTACAGAGTAAAGAAAGCACTCGGGGGGGCATACGAGCTTGAGACCCTAGAAGGAAGACAAGTACCCCGAGCATGGAACGTCGTCAACTTAAGAAGGTACTACCTATGAACCACCAAGGCAAGTACCCTGAAGCTGAGGTAAAAAACGAATTAAATGGCCAAAATGGTCAGTTCGGCAAAAAGAAAAAACAGCTCGAAGACAGGACAAACCAACACTAATAAAAAAGTCATTTCATTTCAGAAAATGAGGTGTACATACAAAAAAAAAAAAAAAAAACCATTTCATTTCATTTTACAAATCGGGGGCTACTTCGTCATCAGAAGCCACTTCGACAACATCCAAAGGCCCTGCCTCCTCCTCGGAGTCCGGTTCAGCATCCGCAGCATCGGCCATCTCTCGAGTAATGCGCGAAGTGGATATGGCGCTGGTATCGAGCTCGGGATACGTATTCCGAATCATCCACCGGCTTAGCTTGAAACCCCTCCTGTAGGAGTCCACCATCAGATCATCGAAACCCGGCGAAGCAATATAATCATCAACAGCTTTCTTCTTTGTGTCTTCGATGCCTTGAGAGAAGATCTGAGTCCTCTCCCTGATGTCCTCCTGAATATACTCGGCCTGATGCTGCAGGTCCAGCTTCATTTCCGGCATATGCTTCACCACCACTCCCATGGCCTCGGCATCTTTCTGAGACCTCGCCTGCCTAGACCTCGCAAGGCGAGCAGCAGCCTCAGCAGCACAAACAACCTCTTCGGCAGGTCGCGCCTGCAGGCGCGCAGTCTCTTCGGCAGCACTAGCAGCCTCTTCGGTAGCTCGCACCTGCCTCGAGCTCCTCTCCATCTGGTTCGCCATGGCGTGAATAAAAGAGTTCACCTACCAAAAGGAAACAAATGATCAAGGGAACAAATAAAAGAATAAAAGCCGAAGAAAATGGAGCACTTACCGCCATGGCATGGGTAACGGCACGGCAGGCCACTTGGGGAGGTGGGAGCTCGGTCCACGCCGTGACTTCCTCGGGAAACGTGGCCTCCTTACTCCTTTGAAGAGCGTGAAAAGGCGACAGCACACTCCTGAAGTCTCCCAGGGCCCCCGAGCCCGATGGCCCAACTCGCGTGTGGGTAGACCCGGAGTAAGCGGGAGCCCTTGTATGAGTGGTCTCGGTATAAGGGGCCCCCGCCGGCTCCTGCATAGGAGGAACCATCTCGGGCTCCATAGGCTGATTCTCCGCCGGATAGTCTGGCACCTCGGGCTCCGCACCCTGGGGTACCTCGGCACGAGCTCGCTTAGCCACCCGTTTTTTCCTCTTCATGCCCTGGAACAAGTCCCCACCTCGGGTCCTTCGAGAGTCCATCGCACCTGCGAAAAGGAGTTCAGCATCAGCAAAACAAGCAAAAGAAGAGCAAGACAAGATCGCTAGGGGAAGAACCTACCCGAACTCAGGCCAGCAGCAATAAGCTTGGCCTCTTCCAGATACTGTTGACACGTCAGCCCAAGCCGCGCCCATTTCCGGAGGCCCTTCGCTGTCTCTTTATCAAGTGTGACGTCGGAGTCGGGAGCGGCCTTCCCCCAGCCGGTCTGAAATGACCACCCCAGCGCACTTCGCACCCCGAAATAGTCCCGCTTCCACGCCAGGACCTTATTAGGGAGTTCATGTAAGAGCTTGAAGCCTGGGCGAGGAGACAGGGAGTACGCCCGCCTACGCCCAGGGAGGGGACCCGCTTGCTTTTTCAGCATCAGAATAGAAGAAAAGACCTCCAAGTCCAAGGGAAAGTTCTCGTCGCAGAATAGGGAGATCGTCCCCACTAAATTCCTAATAGAGTTCGGGTGAAGCTGGCCGACCGTCACATCGAAGTGGTTTAGAACCTCGACGAGAAGAGGGTGGAAGGGCAGTCGCAGCCCCGCAGCGAGCTGCTCCCGAAAAACTACGATCTCATCAGGACCATGTTCCCAAGGGAAGCTACCCGTAGGGATGAAATAGGCATACTCCCCGGGCAAGTTATAGTAGTTTATGAGGGATCGAAGTCCCTCGGGCGACATAGTCGAAGGACCGAACTGATCCAAAGCCCGGCCACGACGGGAGGTGGACGCCAAACTACCCGAGGCACCTCGGCCTATGGGTTCAACCTCTTCCTCAAAACCTACATCGGGCTCGCTTGAACTACCGGGAGATGCAAATCGGTTCGTAGAACCTGCATCAGACCCGCTTGGACTGTCTGAACCCTCCGAGCTAGACATCGGGGAATGGAAGACAGGGTTCCAGAAAAAGCACTCACCCGGGAAGAAGACGAGTAGAAGACGAAAGCTCGAACAAGCAAAAGAAACCTGGAACGCGAGCTAAAGAGCCTGAACGCGAACTGAAACTGCGCAAGCTTGAGAGGTACAGTAGTGGCGATCGGGGTCCCCCCGGCTATTTATATCCATAGCAACCGAAAAGCGACGGTTTGGATTGAAGCCGATCCAACGGCCCACATTCGCGCTAACCGCACGTCCTCCGAAGCCGAGACGTGACCAACGCACGTCTTTCTGAAATGGACGGCACCGGCGCACGTCTTGTCAAAATTAACGGGGCGACGACACGCGTCTTCTCGAAACTGACAGGGTGTCAGTGCACGTCTCCTTGCAATAAAAGCGTCTGCAGCACGATTCCCAAAAATTAAGGAAAAGACTACCGTCACGTCTTCCAAACGCGCGCCTTTTTGAAAATCAAATTAAAGCACGCGCCATCTGTTGAATAAAAATTCAAAAAACGGGCCAAAATCCTCCTACTACCTTACGAACTCCCCGCGCAAGACAGGACCCTTAGCGCAGGGAGTGGGGGCAATTGATGAAGGGAAATTCGGCCCGACCTCGCAATCGCTCGACACGTGGCAAAAACAAACAGCTCGAGGCAGCAGAGCACCCAAAACACGCACCAAGTCCAGGAGCCCGAACTCCCTACTAGGCGCCCGAGCTCCCTACTAAGAGCCCGAGGTCATTACTGGAAGACCGAACTCCCCACTAAGAGCCCGAGGTCATTACTGGAAGACCGAACTCCCCACTAGGAGCCCGAGGTCACTACTGGAAGACCGAGCTCCCTACTAGGCGCCCGAGCTCCCTACTAAGAGACCGAGGTCATTACTGGAAGACCGAACTCCCCACTAGGAGCCCGAGGTCACTACNCCGAGGTCATTACTGGAAGACCGAACTCCCCACTAGGAGCCCGAGGTCACTACTGGAAGACCGAGGTCATTACTGGAAGACCGAGCTCCCTACTAGGCGCCTGAGCTCCCTACAAAGATCCCGAGGTCATTACTGGAAGACCGAACTCCCCACTAGGAGCCCGAGGTCACTACTGGAAGACTGAGGTCATTACTGGAAGACCGAGCTCCCTACTAGGAGCCCGAGTTCCCTACTAAGAGCTCGAGGTCACTACAAGACCGAGCTCCCAAGAGCCCGAGGTCACTACTGGAAGCCCGAGCTCCCTACTAAGAACCCGAGCTCCCTACAAGGAGCCCGAACGCTCTCAGGCCCAAGCCTCAAAAGGCCGTGACCCGAGCTAGCCCATGGTAGCTCGGAACACTCCCCAAACCGAACTCAAAACCATCTCGCTCGCCACTCCAGCACTCCGCGTCCGAAACACCAGACTGACCAAACGTACCTGACACCGAAGATGTCCGTATCCAAGGGCGGCGCACCCGACTGATTCGGGATTTGACGCTTGACAGCCGCACTTCAAACGGTCTCCTGCCACCGCCACCTGCCACCATCGTCACCAGCCACAGTGACGGCTCCGACAAAAGGAGCAGTGGCGGCTCTACCCTGCCAGATGGGATGACGTCCGAACTGGTAGGAGTTCAGAGATAATCATGCCCGAACTGACAGGAGCCTGGAAATGAGTGTGCGAGGTGGTTATAAAAGGCTCCCTACCCCCCAAGAATGAGGTATGCTAACTTTGCGCTATTTGGTTTATCTTGCCTTTGAAGGATTCTAACTTGAGCTTCGGAGCCTTTACACCGGGTTCTCCCCGGAGCTTCTTCCATCTCCTCCGTTTCAGGTGCCCCGCTACTCGAGTCAGAGGCAAGATCGTTGACAGCTAAGACCGGCCAGATAGTGCATCATCAATAATGATATATACATATTCAAAAATTAAAATATTACAGTCAAGCAGGCTGAATTTTCACTCTCCATCCTTGATTTTGATGGGATATCTGACTTAATCCCTATCACCATCCCTGACAAAGCAGTCTCCATACTGCCTGACTACAAGTACAGGAAAAATTGAGATCCCTAATTGTGTGGGTTGAAGTAGGGCTTGTTCCTTTCCTCTTAATTCTTATCTTTTAAGAGGAATCTTTTAATTTTAAGAGAAAATTGGTTATTTGTTTCCTCTTATCTCTTAAAGTATAATCATAAATAACTTTTTTTTTCTAATGATATTAAAAACTCTCATATATAGTAGAGTCAAAATAGATATTTGATAATTTTCAGAATTCAAACAACATTCTCAATATATATAAAGTTAGAGGAAAGAAAATTTCAATATATGTAATTATTACACTTTCAATGTTAGAATTGAAAGCAAAGGAACAAGCCCTGAGCTTAGCTAAGCGCTCAGGACCAATATATGTTAAACCTTAATAATGCCAGCTAGTAGCTATGACTTATTACAACCATAAGAAATAGAGTTGTAGAAAATCTATCACTGCAAGCTGCACAAGCCAGTTTGATCAAGACTGTTAGTTAGCCAACTGTAGAAATCACATTTGACACGTGTTCTTTTCTTTGTGTTAATTATTTTTTTTTTCTGGAAGCTTCTACCTTTGTTATTTAAGACAATGAATGAAACTTCCATTTTCAAATTTTAGATCAATTACCAATTACTTTAGTTTTGCTTTGTTTTAGCTGACCATCTTGTCCCAAGGCCACTTAAATTTGCCAACGAAAAGAGACGATTCCGCTCGATGTCGCCGGGTGCTTTCATGCTACTGCGAGCAATTTGTCAGCAAATTGCAACTGTTGGAAACATCGAGGTTGGGGATGAATACGACGTTGATGATAAAGATATGAAAGCATTAATTATCGATGCGCTTTTCCGTGCCGTCCAGAAGGGGAATGTTGACTTCATCGTTGAGATTCTTAGGTATCGTCCTCGAATCGCACAACTGAAAAACAATGAAGGAATGACCCTGTTTCATGAAGCAATCCGCTGCCGTAAAGATAAGATATTCCAACTCATCAACGATTTTGATATACCAACCGGTCCTGCGGTAGGTGATTACAGAGACAGAAAAACCAATAACAACGCATTACATCTTGTAGCAGAGTTGCCACCTGTGCAACGACGTAATCACATCTCTGGTGCAGCAGCTCTTCAGCTACGGAAAGAGATTGTGTGGTTCAGGGTGAGTTTTTTTTTTTTTGTAATTTTAATTCCGTAGGTATGTTGTAGTTATTAATTACGTACTAATTTGCTTCTCATCGTGATCATGATAGAAAGTGCAAGCCATTCTTCCACCTCTCCACCAACAAGCTAAAAACATGGACAACAAGACACCTAGGATGTTATTCAATGATTCACACAAGGAATTGTTCAAAGAAGGAGAGGAATGGATGAAGCAAACCGCAGAAGCATGTATGGTGGTGGCCACGCTTGTGGCTTCAGTTATGCTTTCAGCAACTTTGGCATTACCTGGTGCAACTAAATCCGACTCAGGCATCTCCATTTTCATTGATCGC